ACAGATGGCCATCCAACCTCTGTTTAAAACCTTCCAAAGAAGGAGCCTCCACCACACTCCGGGGCAGAGAGTTCCACTGCTGAATGGCTCTCACAGGAAGTTCTTCCTCATGTTCAGATGGAATCTCCTCTCTTGTAGTTTGAAGCCATTGTTCCGTGTCCTAGTCTCCAAGGAACCAGAAAACAAGCTTGCTGCCTCCTCCCTGTGGCTTCCTCTCACATATTTATACATGGCTATCATATCTCCTCTCAGCCTTCTCTTATTCAGGCTAAACATGCCCAGCTCCTTAAGCCGCTCCTCATAGGGCTTGTTCTCCAGACCCTTGATCATTTGAGTCGCCCTCCTCTGGACACATTCCAGCTTGTCAATATCTCTCTTGAATTGTGGTGCCCAGAATTGGACACAGTATTCCAGGTGTGGTCTAACCAAAGCGGAATAGAGAGGTAGAATGACTTTCCTGGACCTAGACACTATGCTCCTAATGATGCAGGCCAAAATCCCATTGGCTTTTTTTGCCGCCACATCACATTGTTGGCTCATGTTTAACTTGTTGTCCATGAGGACTCCAAGATCTTTTTCTCACGTACTGCTCTCAAGCCAGGCATCGTCCTCCATTCTATATCTTTGCATTTCGTTTTTTCTGCCTAAGTGGAGTATCTTGCATTTGTCCCTGTTGAACTTCATTTTGTTAGTTTTGGCCCATCTCTCCAATCTGTGAAGATCGTTTTGAATCCTGCTCCTGTCCTCTGGAGTATTGGCTATCCCTCCCAATTTGGTGTCGTTTGCAAACTGCAAAGTTGTAGTTTTGCAAGTCCTTTATCATCTTCTCTGCCAAATAATGTTGGTGTTTCACCAAACTAGAACTTTCAAGCTTCCATAGCATTGAGCCATTATGATTAAAGTGGTGCCAAACTGCATTAATTCTACAGTATAGATGCACCTTTATTCTCATCCAAAGAGTTTAATGTTGAGAACAGAGGGGGAAGACAGAGAGTCTAAAAATCCCCGTTTCCCCTCCAGCTGCAACTGAAGACGGAATCATAATTACCACGTTGCCTGCAGGAATCCCTTGGCAAAATCCAGAGGCTGCCTTTCTGCTCCGGCTTGCAAAGACCAATCTGTCATGTCCAATCCCAGCGAGAGGCTTCGGAATGCGCCGGATAAAAAATATCAATGGAAAATGTCCCCAGGGCATGCGCAGAATGTTTTTTTTCACCCCTTGCTACAACCAAGTTACTACAAAGAGGAAAATCCCCTGCAAAGCGAGAGCAGGTGGAAAAAGAGGCCAGATTAGAGGGAAATTGAACCCCGGTGCCTCTTTGGATCAGAAATGGATCAAGGCAGAAAATGGAATTGGGTGAAATGCATCATATCAAAAATATATTGAAAGGTTATCAGTGCCAACACGACTTGTTGCTTCTGCTGCAAGGCTATTTGTGCCACCAACGTGCCACGTACTGCATAGTATTTGGGTGAAATGCACCCTTCGGTCTATAAGATATTTCTGCAATATAGAATCATAAAGTTGGAAGAGACCCCATGGGTCATCCAGTCCAACCCCCTGCCAAGAAGCAGGACAATCACACTCAAAGCACCCCCAACAGATGGCCATCCAGTCTCTGCCACGTACTGAATAATATTTGGGCGAAATGCACTCTTTGGTCTATAGGATATTTCTGCAACATGGAGTTGGAAGAGACCCCATGGGCCATCCAGTCCAACTCCCTGCCAAGAAGCAGAGCAATCACACTCAAAGCACCCCCAACAGATGGCCATCCAGCCTCTGCCACGTACTGCATAATATTTGGGCGAAATGCACCCTTTGGTCTTTAAGATATTTCTGCAACATAGAATCATAGAGTTGGCAGAGACCCCATGGGCCATCCAGTCCAACCCCTTGCCAAGAAGCAGGACAATCCCATCCAAAGCACCCCCAACAGATGGGCATCCAGCCTCTGCTACGTACTGCATAATATTTGGGTAAAATGCATCTATAAGATTTTTCTGTAACATAGAATCATAGAATCGGAAGGGGCCCCATGGGCCATCCAGTCCAACCCCCTGCCAAGAAGCAGGACAATCGCACTCAAAGCACTCCCAACAGATGTCCATCCAGCCTCTGTTTAAAAGCCTCCATGCAGATTTCTATTCAGTTCTTATGTTGTTTAAAATAGGAAAGGCTTGGAAAAGTTACTCCCAAGCTCCCAAGTAAATATCAGCATTTCTCAACTCATCGTAAGGGGGTCACCATAGGGTGTCAGAGGGGTCATCAAAGACCATCAGAAAACACAGAATTTTCTGTTGTTTATGGAAGTTCTGTGTGGGAAGCTTGGCCTAATTCTACCATTGGTGGGGTTCGGAATGCTCTTTGATTGTAGGTGAACCTTAAATTCCAGCAACTACAACTCCAAAATGTCAAAGTCTATTTTCCCCAAACCCCACCAGTGTTTACATTTGTGTATATTGAGTATTCATGCCAAGTTTGGTCCAGATCCAACATTGATTGAGTCCACAGTGCTCTCTGGATGTAAGTGAACTACAACTCCAAAACTCAAGGTCAGTGCCCACCAAACTCAGTATTTTATGTTCGTCATGGGAATTCTGTGTGAAAAGTTTGGTTCAATTCCATTGTTGGTGGAGTTCAAAATGCTAATTGATTGTAGGTGAACTGTAAATCCTAGCAACTCCAACTCCCAAATGACAAAATCAATCTCCCCCCAACCACACCAGTATTCAAATTTGGTTGTATTGGGTATTTGTGCCAAATTTGGTCCAGTGAATGAAAATACATCCTGCATATCAGATGTTTACATTACAATTCATAACAGTAGCAAAATGACAGTTATGAAGTAGCAATGAAAATAATTTTAGGGTTGGGGGTCTACACAACATGAGGAACTATATGAAGGGGTCATGGCATTAGGAAGGTTGAGAAACACTGATGTAAACACATCAGGGCATGTAATGCTCAAAAGTAGATAGAATAAAATGTTTGTACAAGTTGCTTTGTGACTCCTTTAAAAGAGAAAAGGATAACAACAACAACAACAACAACAACAACAACAACAGACCTATTGTTTTGGGAACTGGGGATGTCATATTCCAAATAAAAACTTCTATTATTATTATACTTTATATATAAAATATATTATTATTATTATTATTATTATTACTATTATTAATACTACTACTACTACTATTTCCAAGTGGTGGAACTCATGTAATCCATTTGGAATATGAAAGGGTATTTAAAAATACATTTTAAGAGTTGGGAAGTATGACTTTGGGAACACTGCAATACCCACCATCCCCTAACCTAATATGATTGAAGAGGGTTGGAGATGCTGGGAGTTGTAGAGCCTTCGTGATACACTCTTCAATACAAGGATAAAATGAACATTTAAGATATGGGCTGGACTGAAGAGTGGTGGGAGTTGTAATGCCTCAGATGTTACACATCTCAGTCCTGGTGGTGATATGTGAAGATCGGAAAATGGATTGGGCTGAAAGAGTTGAAGTATCCCTTAAAGTGACTGCCATCACTGGTAAAAGTCAATGAAGTATAATGAATTGGGCTGAGCTTAAGGATGATGGAAGTTGGAGTGCCCCTGAAATTATGCTTCCTAGCATTGGTAGTAAGTGGGAATTAAGATATGAGCCTGTAGTACCCCTGAACTTAGACTTCCCAGTACTGGCAGTCAGTGAAGATTAAGATAAGACCTGGGCAGAAGGGTGATGGGTCTTGTAGTTCCTCTGAAGTTGGACTTCCCACTACTGGCAATTAGTGAAGATTAAGATAAGGGCTGGGCTGAATGATGATGGGTCTTGTAGTTCTCCCAAAGTTATGCTTCCCAAGCTGGTAATAAGTGAAGATTAAAAGACAGGCTGCGCTTAAGGATGATGGGTCTTATAGTTCTCCCAAAGTTATGCCTCTCAATCTGGCAAAGAGTGAAGATTAAAAGACAGGCTGGGCTTAGGGATGATAGGGCTTGTAGTTCTCCCAAAGTTATGCCTCTCAAGCTGGTAATAAGTGAAGATTAAGAAGCAGGCTGGGCTGAAGGATGATGGGGCTTGTAGTTCTCCCAAAGTTATGCCTCCCAAACTGGTAATAAGTAAAGATTAAGATAAGGGCTGGGCTGAGTGATGATGGGTCTTGTAGTTCTCCCAAAGTTATGCTTCCCAAGCTGGCAATAAGTGAAGATTAAGAGACAGGCTGGGCTTAGGGATGATAGGGCTTGTAGTTTGCCCTAAATTATGCCTCTCAAGATGATAATAAATGAAGATTAAGATAAGGCCAGGGTGAAGGATGATTGCTCTTGTAGTTCTCCCAAAAGTATATCTCCCAGGCTGGTAATAAGTAAAGACTAAGATAAGGGCTGCGCTGAATGATGATGGGTCTTGTAGTTCTCCCAAAGTTATGCCTCTCAAGCTGGCAATAAGTGAAGATTAAGAGACAGACTGGGTTTAAGGATGATAGGTCTTGTAGATCTCCCAAAGTTATGCCTCTCAAGCTGGTAATAAGTGATGATTAAGAGACAGGCTGGGCTTAAGGATTATGGGTCTTGTAGTTCTCTCAAAGTTATGCCTTTCAAGCTGGTAATAAGTAAATATTAAGATAAGGGCTGGGCTGAATGATGATGGGTCTTGTACTTCTCCCAAAGTTATGCCTCCCAAGCTGGTAATAAGTGAAGATTAAGAGATGGGCTGGGTTTAAGGATGACGCATCTTGTGGTGCCCCAAGGTTAGACTTCCCAGCACCCATAGTAAGCAAAGATTAAGAGTAGTAATTAGTAAAATGTGAGCTGAAGGATGATGTGCATTGCAGTGCCCGCAAAGTCATGCTTCCCAGCACTGGTGGTAAGGGAAGATCTAGGCAGGGCTGAGGATGATGTGCATTGCAGTGCCCCCAAAGTCACCCATTCAGATATGGAACAAGAAGAAGAGAACTTGTGGAAAGGATATTCTGGAGGCCAAAGGGGAGGCGTAGCAAACCAACTCACCTTGGCCAGGAGGGAACTGGACACCACCAACCCCAGAAGCCACACCGCCAGGACTGTATATCCCATCTTGAAGAAGATGATGGTCAAGCTCCTCCTGAGGGAGACCTTCTCCTCCAGTCAAACAACCCAAAACCTCAGCCCACCCCCTTCTTCTCTCTCTCTCCCTCCTCCGAAGAAATCAAAGTTGGACTTTGGAGTTCCTGCAGAAGAAGAAGGAGGAGAAGGAGGAGGAGAAAGATTTTCCTCCCATCTCGGTCGCCAAGAGGAGTTGATGGAGGAGGCAAATGGGTTCAAGGCTTGCAAGAGCGATGCCTGCCTTCCTGCCTCTCTTTTCCTTCTCTTCTTTCCTTCCTTTCTTCTCTTGACAGCAGCCTCGCAAAGAGACAAAGCCAGATCCTGAGAGACACCCAAGCACCAGCCTCGCGCGATGCAGACTCGGGCTCAGTGTGAATTTCAGGAGGAGGAGGAGGAGGAGGAGAGGGGGGGGTGCATTGCTAGGTACCGCCCCCTGGGAGGGGCTGGTCTCAGCCAGCCAATGAGAAGAGCGCAGGCACTTCTAGCTGTCAGGTAAGTACCTGCAAGCCAGGTGAGCCACTGGCAGAATGGAGCATCACAGATTGTTGTTGTTTCAGACTCTTCCTGACCTCATGGACTAGCCCACGCCAGAACTCCCTGCCGGCCGTCACCACCCCCAGCTCCTTCAGAGTCAAGCCAGTCACAGTCACAGATAAAGGATTGAAGAAATGGCATGACTCCATTGATAGAGCTATTCTGTCTTTTACACCTTCTCCTCCTTCTGCCTCCTTCATTCCTTTTCGCTTCCTCCTTCTCGTCTTCCACCACTTCCTCCTTCTTCTCCGGTTCCTCCTCTTACTCCTCGTTCTTCTCCTTCTCTTTCTGTTTCATCTCCACCTCCTCCTCCGTCTTGTTCATCCCTCTTCTTAACTCCTCTTTCTCCTCCTTCTCCACCTCCATATCCTTCTTCTCTACCTCCACCTCTGTCTCCTCCTGCCTCCTTCTTCGCCTCCTCCTCCTCCTTCTCCTCCTTCTCCACTACCACCACTTCCTCCACATCCGTCTCCTTCTTAACTCCTCTTCCTCCCTCTCCTCCTCCACCTCCACTTCCTTCTTCTCCACCTCCGTCTCCTTCTCCTTCTCCAATTTCTCCACTACTACCACTTCTCCTCCTTTTTTCCTTCTTCTCCTGCTCCTCTCCTTTTCCACCAGCTCCATTTCTTTCTCCTCCTCCTCCTCCTCCTTTTTCTCCTCAACCTCCTCCTCTACTTTCTCCTTCCTACCCTCCACCACGGCCTCCCTCTCCCCTCTCTTCTTTTTATTCTCCTTCTTCGTCCTCTCCTTTTCCTCCTCCTCCACTTCCTTCTTCTCTACCTCCACCTCCGTCTCCTCCTCCTCCTTCGCCTCTTTCTTCACTACTACCACTTCTCCTTCTTTTTTCCTTCTTCTCCTGCACCTCTTCTCCACCTCGGCCCCCCTCTCTTTCTTTTTCTTCCTCTTCTTCTTCATCCTCTATTTTTGTCCTCCTCCACTTCCTCCTTCTTCTCCGACTCCTCCTCTTACTCCTCGTTCTTCTCCTTCTCTTTCAGTTTCATCTCCACCTCCTCCGTCTTGTTCTCCTCTTCATCCCTCTTCTTAACTCCTCTTTCTCCTCCACCTCCACATCCTTCTTCTCTACCTCCACCTCCGTCTCCTCCTGCCTCCTTCTTCTCCTTCTCCACTACCACCACTTCTCCTTTTTTCCCCTTCTTCTCCTGCACCTCTCCTCCACCACGGTCCCCCCCTCTCCTTCTTTTTTCCCCTTCTTATTCTTCATCCTCTCCTTTTCCCCCTCCACCATTTCGTCCTTCTTCTCCCGCTCCTCCTCTTACTCCTCGTTCTTCTCCTTCTCTTTCTGTTTCATTTCCACCTCCTCCTCCGTCTTGTTCGCCTCTTCATCCCTCTTCCTAACTCCTCCTCCTCCTCCACCACCACCACCACTTCCTTCTTCTCTTCCTCCACCTCTGTCTCCTTCTTCCTTCTTCGCCTCATAATAATAATAATAATAATAATAATAATAATAATAATAATAATAATAATAATAATAATAATAATAATAATAATAATAATAATAATAATCCGTTGTTTGTACCCCGCTACCATCTCCCAGAGGACTCGGTGGGGCTTACAAGAGGCCGAGCCCAAATACAATAGTCAGAGAATAACAACAAAAACAACAAAATAACCCAAAAAACAGCAATAACATTAACAACACACAATGACGCAATTAAAAACAATGGCAGAGCCAAATGTAATAATAAAGTTAAAAGTGCTGGGCGTGACAAGGTGGAGTGTTTGGAGGGGGGTGGGCATGTAGATATCCTAGATCTCTGATAAAGTGCGTTGGGACATAATGCTAGGAGTTTCCTTCGAGCTTCCTTTTTCCTTCTTCTCATGCTCCTCTCCTTTTTCACCAGCTCCACTTCTTTCTCCTCCTCCTTTTCATTCTCAATCTCCTCCTCTTCTTTCTTCTTCTCCTTCCTGTCCAACACCACGGCCTCCCCTGTCCTCCTTTCTTTTTCTTCTCCTTCTCCACTCTCTCTTTTTCCTCCACCATCACTTCCTCCTCCTCTGTGTCACTTCCTTTTTCTCCTTTCTTTCCTCCTCCAACTCCACTTCTTCTCCTCCATCACCAGCCTCTTTCCTTTGCCTCCTCCTTCTTTCTTTTTCTTCTTCTTTTTCACCTCCTCCTTCACCTCCTTCTCTACTTCTCCTCCATCCTCTCCGTCTCCTCCTCTTTCCTCTTCATCTCCTCAGTCTCCTCCTTCACCAACTCTTTCTCCATCTCCTTTTTCTCCTCTTCCACAAGCTCCACTTCTTCTTCCTTTTCCTTTTCCTCTACTTTCTACTCCTCTTCCTTCTACTCCTTCTACATCCCACCTTTCCCCCTACCTACTCCTTCTTTCATTTTCTCCTTCTTCTTTTTCACCTCCTCCTCCTCCTCCTCCGCTATCACCCCTTCTTCTCTACTTTCTCCTCCCTCTCCTTCTTCACCACCTCCATCTCCCTCACTTTCTCACTTTCCTTCTCCTCCCCACCACCACCACTTTTCTCATTCTCCTTTTTCTCCTCCACCAGCTTCACTTCTTCCTACTTTTCCTTCTCTATCTCCTCCTCCTCTTCCTTCTCCACCTTGTCTACCACCTCCCTCTTTCCTCCTCTCTTTTTTCCTTCTCCTCCTTTTTACCTCCCCTCCTCCATCACCACTTCCATCCTCTCTACCTCCTTTTCCGTCTCCTTCTCCAGTTCCCTTACCTTCTTCTCTACTTCCTCCTTGTCCTCCTTCACCTCTTACTATTCTTTTTCCTCTTCCTCCCCAGCTCCAATTATTCTTTTTTCTTTTCCTTCTCTTCTTTCTCCTCCCTGTTCTCCACCACTACCTCCCTCTCCCTTTTACCACCTCCTTCTTTCTTTTTCTCTTCTTCTTTTTCACTTCCTTCGCTTCCTCCTCCACCACCACCTCCTTCTTCTCTACCTTCTTCTCCACTTCTTGATTCTCCCCCACCACCAGCTCCACTTTTCCTCCTTCTTTTGCTTCTTTTCCTTCTCAACCTTCCTCTCCTCTTCCATCTCCTTCTCCTCCTTGCCCACCTCCTCCTACTTCTTCCTATCTTCTTGCCTTAATAACACAATAGTGATTTTAATTCTTCATAGGGATCATAATAACAATTCATATTACTGCTCCGGGAGTTATTATTAGCATAAGAGCATTATAGCAAACCAAGATATTGTATTACAGATAGAGGTATATATATTTTGGTGGCACCTTTATCAGGACAACGAAAAAGGTATGAAATGCATCAAATTATGACAGCAGTTACAAGTTGAGTCTCCCTTATCTAAAATGCTTTGGACCAAGAAGTGCTTTGGAGTCTGGATTTTTGTTTTCGAAAAGGTTGGAATCTCAGTATTAGTATATCTTGGAAAGGGGAGAATCCACCACCCTGTGAAGCAGTTTCCTTCTTTAACAAACAGCTTTTACTGTCACGAAGGCCTTTTAAATGTCCCAGCTCTTACGTCCTTTGATCTCTTTTGATTGCTTATCAGCTTTGTTTACTTGGCTACTCTTCTTCTTGTTTGTTTAAAGGATATTTTGTTACTATTTTTAAGTGAAATGTCAGTTTTCCAACTGTGTTTATTGCACCCTATAGTGCAGGTATGGGCAAACCCATGCCCAGGGGCTGGATACAGCCCCTTGGGGTCTTTTTTCAGGCTCTCCTCTCTCTCACCATCCTATCCTTCCTTCCTTCCTTCCTTCCTTCCTTCCTTCCTTCCTTCCTTCCTTCCTTCTCTCTTTCCTTTCTCCTTCTCTCCATCTTTCACCTTCCATTCCACTCTTTCATCCTTCCTTCCTTCCTTTCTTTCCCTTCCTCCTCCTCTCTCCCTCCCTCCTTCCCCTCCACCTTTTTGTCCTTCCTTCCCTCTCTCCCTCTTTTTCGTTCCTTTCTTCCATTTTGTCTTTCCTTCCTTCTCTCTTTCCCCTTCCCCTTTTCTTTCTCGGGCTCTCCATTCTCTTCCACCCTTTCACCTTTTCTTCCCTCTTTGCTTCTTCCTTCCTTCCCTCCCTTCCTTTCTTCCCTTCCATCCTTTCATCCTTCCCTCCAGAGCCCTCAGTGGCGCAGTGGGTTAAACACCTGTGCCAGCAGGACTAAAGACCGACAGGTCGCAGGTTCAAATCCGGGGAGAGGCGGATGAGCTCCCTCTATCGACTCCAGTTCCTCATGCGGGGACATGAGAGAAGCCTCCCACAAGGATGATAAAAACATCATCTGGGCATCCCCTGGGCAACGTCCTTGCAGACGGCCCATTCTCTCACACCAGAAGCGACTTGCAGTTTCTCAAGTCACTCCTGACACAACCAACATCCTTCCCTCCCTTTTCTCTTTCCTTCTCTTTTCTTCCTTCTTCCCTTTCTCTCTTCCCTCCCTCTTTCTCCTTGCATCCTACCCTTCAACCCTTTCATCCTTCCTTCTCTTTTTTCTTCCTCTTTCTCTTCCTTCCCTTCCCCTTCCCTTCCCCTCCCTTCCCTTCTCTTTTCTCCCTTCCTTCCTTTCTTTCCTTCTCTCTTCCCTCCCTCCCCTCTTCCTTCTCTTCCCCTTCCCTTCCTTCCACCCTTTCATCCTTCCCTCCCTTTTCTCTTTCCTTCCTCCTTCCACCTCCCTCCCTCTCTTT